TTCATCAAAAGCCAATAATAATTCATTGATGAAACATTCGAATACGGTTGTTCCAAGTGTACTTGAAAAAAATCATATTTTCAAAAAACGTCGAATGAATAGTGAAAAATCATTATCTCCTTTGCCTGAACATCAAAGTATGTTTATCTCGTTATTTGTCTTTATGTTAGTATTTATCTTTTGATATTTCGATTAAAGTATTTTCTGGTATTATGCATAACCGGTGTTTTTGATATTTCATTTTATTGTTCTTACTACTCATAAGTAACATGAATTTTATACAAACATTCTAAATTCAGAATTTGGCAACTAGTACAGGTCGAGCTGGATAGTTTTCGTGCTCAGTTGCATTAAGAAAACAAATTTATACACTTATATGTGTAAAGTAGCTATTTTGAATTATTTTAACTATGAATAATGAATAATTGAATGTGAATCTTTGCTAAACAGATTTTACCAAGCTAATGTGCTTAACTGAACTGGAGAAATTAATAAACTGTAAAACTGTAATCATTACATAACCTTCTTTTCATCAATAGTTAAATAGCCATGAATATGTGATTTGAAGTACAGCCGTATAGGATTAAATTATCTACATCTATGATAACTTGACGGTCTAAGGTCTTAGAGATCCTGAAACTCAGTGATTGTAGGTGTTGTCGGAAATGCTTTGGAATATCAATGATGTACTTCAATAGTCAACTATTATTGTATATAAACCATGAGATTAAAAAAACTCTGTGTTCTTGAATTCGCTAGGCCAAATGGACAAAATCATTAACGCTTACTTCATATATAGAAGTATGCTTCATAGTTATTTCATAAGCTTTAAATCAGTTTATTCTGTCAGCCTTGTTTGTGATTGATTGTTGTCACATGTTTCATGGTCAAGTTGAATGTCAGAACAAGTAAAAATACTGAAAGCTATGCTTACAATCAGTCAATCACTAACAAGGGCAATAGAACAAACATATTTAAAGCTTACGGAATTTACCAAGAAACTCACTTCTATATGAAGCAAGAGCACTATTTATGTGACATTTAATGATTTTCACAATTTTTCATATATTGATTAAAGTTGAAAAGGTCAGAAGATTCTATGTAATGTAGTCTCTAACCAGTACTCACCTGGATTTTAATAGCTGTTTAGTTGTTATTCGTTTGTGACCAAAACTCTACATCATCGATATTGTCACTTCTGTGCCACGGTTGTTTGCCGTACTATCCCACTTTACTAGTTTCGTTCATTCAAGCTACGTGTGTGATTTTTTTCAACATCCGGCTTCTCTAATTCACTAATCAATTGTTCGTATGCTACTTTGAGTGTGTATGCATCCGTTTGTAAAATGTTCTTTTTTTTCTCTTGAACTGGTGTTTGTTTTCTTGTTACCTGTTTACGGTAGAATTTTTTGTTTAGAATAAAAAGGGTACCACATGATCCATGATTGAATTGATTCTTTTTGTGTCTATGTGTGTGTGCATGTGCTCATGTTCAATCATCGATCGAACGCATCGATAGCAAGTTTGATTCATTAATGATATCAAAGGCCATAAAGATTGAGCCATATTCGTACGGATGTGATAACATTTCATTTGTTCATAGAAATAAAATTTAGTGCATTTAAACAAACTGTTTGTTTTTTTAAAAAAATTTATCTATTCTTTTCAACCTGTCCTTCACTATACATGATTAGCGGACACATTAAATTTTCGTAATATGTGTTGTTTCACTTAGTGGTTCTTTGATTATCTCTTTCTCTCTCTCCCACACCACACTGATTATCATTATCTAGCTGAATTCTCATTTTTTTGAATTACGACTTGATATTATTTCGGAAAAATGATTGAAAGTAATGGGGCATCAAATTACTGTCATTTATCAGATGGATTCTTTAAATCAGACGATGATGAATGCAAGGCATCATCTAGTGTAAATGCGTTTCCATCCGATCAGCAGCACGTTACGTTGAACTATCAAAAAATGAGTAGATTATGAACACAGTCAGTTACAACGTAGAACTTCGTACGTAAGTACATCAGTTCAGGTTGCTATACCACATTAGCACAGAAACGCAAATGCCAGTTCAAATACCATAGTGGAAGAGACAGTAGAAGTATTAGTTGTACTAGAGAAGATTAGGGTTCCAGGATATTATTCAAGTAGTAGAGCGAGATAACTTTAGAAAGAGAAAGGTATAGATGATGACGAATTCAGAAGATTATAATTTGATAAAACACAATGAATGAATGCACCTGCGCCATTGCAAACAGTTTTCAGCCATGTCATTCGGGGTCTCTAACCATCGGTTGCTATCGTCTCGCGGACCCCAACCAGGTAGCCTACATCTACCGACATGACTCAGTTCACTTGTCAGTGACTTCATGGATTTATGCTATGTTTTGGTTTATCTGCCCCTAACTTTCTTCCAACCTACTCCTATACCACAAAAAATCTCTCGTCAAAGCAGTCGGTGATCGGGCTTTCGTAACACATGTCCCAACCACCTCAACTGATGAAGTTTCAACACCTCATCTATTGATTTGCTATCCCAGCCTAGTACTCGTTTCCTAACGACTGTTGTGTAATGCAGTCAATAATTTTTATAGCTTTTATGAACAAACAGAATCTCGCTAAAATGCTTTCTGCTTACAAAAATAGGTATTTAGTACAGTTTATTTACCACCGTAAAAAGAACGTTCTATGTGTCAGATGTGTTACACCACAACCTCGGACGGATAACCTTGTAAACACTGAAAAAGTAAAACCATTCGATATTGAACGATGAAATGGAACGAAATAAAGCTGAAATTAAAAGTTGACATATAAAACTGTTCTAGTCTAGGTAACTTTAAAAAAATTATATAACAATAATTGTTTAATCACAAATTACCCTACTAAATAATTTTTTTTACTCTGAAGAACTACAACTCAATAGCATTGAATTTTTTTGAACGAGATTGATTTCACAATCTTCATAAATCTAAACTGACGCTTACAATGCTGGTATAGATTAAATTCTATAAAGCATTATTCTTGTTGTATTTCTGAAGAAAACTGAATTAAAGCAGGAAATGAAATAAACTGACTAAAGTACCATTCTCTTAGGTAACAATCAAGAAAAGTTTTCTTTTTTGTTCACTGATAACTTAAAGTTCGTTAAAATGAAAAAGAAAACCTTCACATTGCCATCTTCATAATGAAATTCTATGCAATCGAATCTTAATTCACAAACCATCATTGATTAATGACTGGTTACTGACTGTATCATGAATTTTATCTTTTGTTTAAGTGTACATCCATAGCTAGTGGTAGTAGTTATCTTGTAACGTGACTTTCAATACACACACACAACGTGGTCACGAATTCACTACAACTGCAACTTACTAACTTACTGAGTCATCATTAAGCGTCATACGACTGTTTTTGATCTCAGTCAGTCAGATGCAACGTAGAACTTCGTACGTAAGTACATCAGTTCATGTTGCTATACCACATTAGCACAGAGATATAATTGTCAATTCATATCTCATAGTAGAAGAGGTAGTAAAGGTATTAGAAGTAATCGAAGAGGTTAGGATTAGAAGATATTATTCAAGAAGTATGATTCAGTGAGAAAAGTTTAGAAAGTCAAAACTAGAGGTGCTGAACAATCCAGAGGATTAGGATTTGAGAGAACACAAAGAATGAATGCACCTGCACCATTGCAAACGGTTTCGAGCCAAGTCATTCAGGGTATCTAACCATCGATTATTATCATCTCACGGAGCTCAACCAGGTAGTCGACGATTACCGACATCGCTAAGTCCACTCGTCAATGATTTCATGGATTTCTGCCATGTTTTGGTCTGGCCGCCCCTAGCTTCTGCCCAACGTATTCCTGTATCTCAATACATAGCTCGACGAGGCAGTCGGTGGTTAGGCAAACGCAACACATGTCCCAACCATCTCAACTGATGAAGCTTCAATACTTCATCTATTGACTTACCATCCTTACTTAGCACCCGCTTCCTAATTGTTTATGTATATATATACAACATGTCATATATTTATATGTTTGTAATAATTTCACTTTATTCTATCTATAACTTATTACATTGTTTATTCACTTTCTTATGCCTACAGAAAATACAACATGTGAATCCAATAAATTAGACACTGAACATTCCACGGAATTATCATTGTCATCTGTGAAAATGGAAAATGTCGACCCGATTTCCAATGCTAATAATCATAATAATAATAATGACCAAATCAAATCCACATGTTGTTATTCAAAGAAATTAAAACGAAAAAATTTAAAAATCTCAAAATCAATATGTTATAGAAATAAATTACGTAACACAGTGAACAGTAATAGTAATAATAGTACTACTACTGCTACTACTACTACTACTACTGCTCCTACCCAGAATGAAATTCTATGCAATGGAATAACTTCCAATTTGAATGATTCCATTGAATCAAAGCAATGGGTAATTGTGTTTATTTACCTAGTGATACAATTTGTTCATTATTAAAATGTGTCAGACAGACAGACAGACAGATATAACACAGAACTTTGTACGTACGTACGTACATCAGTTGAGGTTGCCATACCACATTAGCACAGTGACACAACTGTCAGTTCAAATCCAATAGTGGTAGCGATAGTAGAAGTATTAGTGTAGTGAACGAGAACACAGCTGGGGCGACCGAATTGTATTTAACGAAAATTACAGAGTTACTCAGTAAAATAGGAAAACCATATCGTAAATCGTTAATTTGCAAAATATCAGTTCATCATATCGAACTGGACTGTTCCTGTTGCAAAACATCAATCTATTGTCACTATTCATGCGTTTCATACAAATTCCATTGTTTTCTAACTCTTCCTTTCTTGATCTTCCCCCATCTTTCTTCTGCCAGACATTACGTTGACACTCACGTTATATACTATAAGTAGCTCACACCACACTGTCAGTTTAAATTCAATAGTGGTAGCGATAGTAGAAGTACTAACAGTAATGCAGAAGATTTGGGGTTCGAAGTAAAACTCAGTGAGATAAATTTAGAAAGAGAAAGATAAAGATGATGAGGAATTCAGAAGGTTAGAATTTGAGAGAAAACGACGAGTGGATGCACCTGTGCCATTGCAAACGATTTTAAGCCATGTCGTTCAAGGTGTCTAACCATTGATGACTTTCGTCTCGCGGACCTCCAAAATGTGTTAGTGTTTTCATTCAGTTGTTGTTGTTCCTCGTCAGTATCATGCACAAATCGATTCTGTTCTCATCTACAATAGGATCTCGGAAAATTCTAATCATAAACTAATCACCGATGAATATTCATTGAATAGTTTCACTAATTTAGGATTTTTAAGTAAAGAATTACACATCGTTTATAGGTATTGGCTGTCTGACTAAATAGTCTAAATTTGTGTGAAATCTTAAACCATGTAATTTCAAACTGAGTAACATTATGTTTTGGATTGTATTTTAACCTATCAAACTGTATATTTACTTACATATTTAAATACATAAGTGTTAGTACAAAGGGGCACCTAAATATTTATGCGCCACACAAATCAATGAATTATTGTATGGCCTGTGATACTACCTGGGTGTATAAACGAAAACAGATGGTTTTCTTAGGAGGCTACTCCTCAAGCCTTGAATCCAAAAGTCCAATCCACAAGACAAGTGGAACAACGTTAACAGATCAAGCGTTATGCCAGCCAGTGACCGACAATAGGTTTTTACGCCATTTGTACTCTCAGGAACCTGGAGTTCATATTGCACTATTGATTTGGAATCAGGGTTTCCCAAGTCTCTTAGAAAAACCCACCCTACCTACCGATTCGGTTTAAACCCCAGGCTTTCGCTTCCGGTCCTCTGAATTTCGTAAACAACACCGCTACAAAAAGAACAGTGAGCAGGACTTCTTTGTCAATGGCCGTACACGCGTCGCCGTGTGAGAACGTTTCCAAAGGAAGAGTGAACTTCCCCACTCTCGACTCTATCAAGACATTCTGAGGTTATCAAAATGAATTGACAAAGTCTATATACGACGTTAATGAGTAGTTAAAGATTTACAATATACTTGTATTTTCATTTAGAACACATAACTAACGGTACTAATAAACGAAATATAAAATACCATCAAATCCTCATTTTAACTACAAAAATTACCTCTGTTTATGTACTACCGCCAAATAAAAGATAAATTGCCACAACTAACTCCTAATACCGTTACTATCTCTTCTACTATTGGATTTGAATTGACGATTACTTCTCTGTGCTGATGTGGTATGGCAACATGAACTGATGTACTTATGTACAAAGTTCTACGTTGCATCTGACTGACTAACCAATTCAACAATGTTTGTATTATCCGCCTTGATTTGTTACACGGGGGCAGATAGTACGTCAATGCCACTCTTTCATTTTACTTAAGGTTTGTCATTTCTTAAATATAGTATAAAGGCGATTTTAATTTTTTCTTTAAAGAGTATTTTGTACATCTGTAAAGTTGTAAATAACAACCTGTTTCTTCAATAAATCATATCCAGTTGTCAATAGATTGTGTGTAAAGTTCTCTTAAGAACATTATTTTACTCATATTATTCTTACAATTACTTTTTTCTCATTTCTATTCAATTCAAGGATTGTGTTCCTACGTCTCGTCATGATTTAAATCTTCCAACCACTGATACTGAATATTTCAGTGACAAAGATAATCCTCCAGGAAAACATGATTTACATATTAATGTTACTGGGCGCAATCGTAACACTCTTACTACTCAATTATCAATGGAAAATGAAAAACGACTAACAATTGATTCAACAAATCCTACTAAACAAACTCATCATTCTTTAAAGCATAATAATCATTTCTCATCAAATAATTTATCTGAATCTCATTGTAATGAAGGCATCAATTCACCGTTTGCCTCTTTGGAAAATCATGAATCAATTGTTATGAATGGTGATTTAACATTATGTGAATTACACAATGACAAACTGACGGATAATGATGAGTTATGTGATAAATCAAATGCTCATTGTAATAATTTTGAGGAGAATTGTGAAGCAACTCAGGTTGGTAAATTCTTCAAACTATTTGGATTATTGATTTTTGGTTACACATATGAGAACAGTGTTTCTTTCAACCCTTTTAACAAACAAAGTCATGCTCGAAAACGAATCACTAGATGAATCTAAATATCATAGACTTTGACAATGTCAAAACATTGTTTGATCTATCCTGAATGCTATCACCAGTGTTATGTTTGTCTAGTTTTTTTTTCTTGGTGCTGTTCAAACTCTACTGATGTTTTAGACTATCAGGCTACATGGCTTCAGTTTCTTCAAGATTACAACTAGGTTTTACTGAGATGAGTGTCGAATAACATGAGACTTAATTTTAAAGTTTCTTATTGCGTTTAGATCCAACCGTAGGACACATTGTGTAACTTGTTTTCACTTAATGTATACAAAAGTAATTGTTTTACAGAGCTATGTTTACTTGTTCATAGTTAATTAGAATACTGTCAGACACTCGATAAATACTTTATGAAATCAGGTGCCAAAAGTTTTAAAGCAATATTTAGACAGAAAATAAAAGATTTGATTCAGTGATGAATATTTAATTTGGACAATTCGAATGACGATCAGTCTCTTCCCACTGGTTGTTAGATTAAAGTCGGTTACTGATGAATACGCAAAATACTTCGTATTCGTTGGCCAGACACCATCAGCAACAACGAACTGTGGGAGAGAACAAACCAGATTCCAGTGGAGGAGGAAATCAGGAAGAAGCGGTGGAAGTGGATAGAACACACACCGCGAAAAGCACGCAACTGCGTCACAAGACAAGCCCTCACATGGAACCCTCAAGGTGAAAGGAAAAGAGGAAGGCCAAGGAACACATTGCGCCGAGAAATAGAGAAAGATATGAGAAGAATGAACAAAAATTGGACAGAATTGGAAAGGGAAGCCCAGGACAGAGTTGGTTGGAGAAAACTGGTGGGCGGCCTATGCTCCATTGGGGGTAACAGCCGTAAGTAAGTAAGTAAGTACTGATGAATAAGAAACATTCAGAATTCAATTTCGTCATAGTGTTAACCTTGTTGTCAGGTTGGGACCGACTTCAGTCAATTCTATTTCATGAAAGCCTTTAAAAGTTCTTCAGTTCAAGTATCAAACTCTTTTTAACCTTTGTGACACGTCGTTTTTTTGTCATGATAACCTACCAATGTACACATAAAACACCATTTTATCCAAACGAAGTTCTAAGCTGGTAATTCACACGTATAAGAAAAAACTATTCAATATATATTTCTTTAAAATGTTTATAAAATGCTGTATATATTTTAATAAAAATTTTCTTCCTTTTTTTCACTCAAGGTACTAAATTCCAATTTGCACAATCCTTTGAATCAAAATAATGAACAATGTACTACTACTCCACTGCAAAATAGTCAACACAAATTCAAATTAGAATCTAATTTATTAGAAAAAACAAGTTATAAAACAGATCATTTAACTGGGAAAACTAATCATCACGCTTCTCCTATGATCCAGCCTAATGATTCAAAGCCATCAGACTGTGGTGTCAACACAGTATTATTTGGTGAAGATTCATCATCAACATCCACAACAACAACAACAACGACAACACAGTATGGATCTAGTACTAGTGATGATATTGGCTGGGCGATTGTTCAACGTCAACGAGAATTAAGATTGTTATGCACAGCTAATCATCGAATGCTTCGACGACTTATACAGGCAGCTAGAAGAGATATGCAACGTCAAGAAATACTAAGGCGTCTAGCGATTGCAGATGCTGATGTAAGAGTTTTGGGGGGGGGGGTTGTTAGTTTCTCTTCCGTATTAAATGTTGGTGACAGTTTTTTTTTTTGTACAGGCCACATAATCTTGGTTGATTTTATATTTTGAGTTATTGATTTACTAGACAGACAGATAGCATCTTATGAACGAATTAGATTTGTTAAATACAATTCACACACTTTCATCGATGCAATAAATACTATTTATTGGTTCCATTTCATAAGTTTAGTCAGAACAATGACGACAATATTTGTAATGTTTGCGTAATTACATTGTCTTCTCCAATCGGAAATCATGATAGTAGAGTATTATGATACCCTGCTAACGATAATTTAAATAGTATCGAGTCAATCGATAAGTGATCTATCAAATTTACAATAATAAAATTTCATGTTATTCCCTAATTCAACTTACTAACAAATAGAAGTGTATACAAATTACCGTAATTTACTTTGCGACACCTTGGTTTTTTGTACAACTAACTATCTTGTTCAAACTAAACACAGGCATAGATCAATATTTTGACCTATCTACTTATTAGGTAAAATTTGATTTCCTTTCCCTCGCCCACCCCCTTCTCTATCTCTCGTTAATCTATGAGGTTATTGCGTAATATCATCATTTCAATTTGTATGGTTTTCATATTTCACTAGAGTCATCACACATTTATTAGTTTACAACGTAATTATTGTGAATGTGGTTGATGTACTATTTTTTTATTTCTTTAGTAAACATCGCATCAATTGTTGATATCTCAGCTAGTAGTCGTTGTTATTGTAAGGGTGCTTGTTGATTTAGATAATGCCGATAACATAGTTCTAATTTGTGAAGACGCTGACGGAATGCAGAGTCTTCTGACTACTCCAAGCAAGCACCGATGGCTTGGTGACTGATGAAATCTCAGCACGTATACAGAAATCTCGATTGGCTTTTGCCAACCTGCGTCACTTATAGCGTAGGCTAGATATCCGTTTGCTAATCAAAGGACAAGTCTACTGAACAACAGTTCGCCCTATCCTACTTTATGGCTGTGAAATATGGCCAGTGAGAGTAGAAGATAATCGTAGGTTACTAGTTTTCAATCATAGGTTTCTCCGAAGCATTGCTCGTGTATCGTGGGACAACCGAGTGAGCAATGCTGTCGTTAGGAAAGGGGTGCTAGGTAAGGATGGTAAGTCAATAGACGAAGTATTGAAGCTTCATCAGTTGAGATGGTTGGGACATGTGTTGCGTATGCCTAGCCACCGACTGCCTCATCGTACTATGTCTTGCGATGTCGGAATAGGTTGGAAGAAAGCCAGGGGTGGCCAAACCAAAACATGGCAGAAATCCATGAAGTAACTGATAAGTGAACTGAGTCCTAACCTTCAGAATTCCTCAACACCTTTATCTTTTCCTTTTTAAGTTTATTTCATAAGATTCTACTTATTGAATTATTTGCTCGAACCCTAATCTCTCCGACTACTGGTAATACCTTTACTACCCCTACTACTATGGGATCTGAATTGACAATTATATCGCTGTTCTAATGTGGTAGGACAACTTAAACTGATGTACTTACGTATGAAATTCCAGGTTGCTGTTGATGACGATGATGATCACAAACAAATTTGTAAAAAACAATCCGTACTACTTTCTTTTTTTACTTTTCAATTTGTTTAGGTTATTGGAAGCCTATAATAAACTTGAAAGTTATCGTCCCTTCGGTAAACCTCCATTAAAACGTGATCGTGATCTTTCATGGAAAGCATTAAAAGGAACGTCGTAAAATACTTTAAAGAACTAGAAGCGTTTGATGCCTAAATCTCCATGAAATCATCATCGTCATCATCAACCAACAACATTCATTCGAGTGTGTGTAATCCATTGTGGAATCTCTCTGTTTGTTTTTTTTTGTACATAATTTGAATGTGTTAATCTTGTTTTTCTCTTGTTTATTGTTTATTTTTGTTATTGTAATTTATTTTATTCCATCTTGTTGTATCATGTGATGATAATTGAGAAAGTTTTTTTCTCAATGTTCTATTATATATATATTACCATCTCAAATCAATGTTTATCTATGAGAAAAAAAAACAGGTAGTTGTTCTCAGTCGAAGACTGAATTTTCTCCTTCTTCTTTTTATTCCCTTTCTAATTCACCCAACTTCATTTTGTTTCCCATTTTGTTCAATCATTTCCCTAATTGTTTATTTTGTTTTCTTCTTCTCCGAATTATGAACTTTGTTCTCTGTTTCTTTGTCTGTACGATAGTTAAGTAGATTTATTAAGTTATAATCATTAGTCATTCATATCAATTGTAATATGATGATGATGTGGAGTAGTAGTAGCATTTTTGTTCAAGTTTTTTACGTGAACAATTGATTGTGTTCTACAGTGAATATGACAGTCTTTCCTTCAACAAGCATATATAATATATATACACGTGTGTATAATGGGATTCATTGCTAGGTATACCTCTGTGTACGTTTGTTTAGTTTGTATGTATTCATTCTCTTTTTTTGGTAAATAAATAAATAAGCAGTAGATTTTCAATATATATATATCTACTGATTAAACACTGTTCTTTATTTCTTTCTGATTGTTAAACATTTTTATTATTATTATTATTATTATTACATCATAATGTAAAAAAACTGTGCTTTTTTTATCTTCTTCTTTTCTCTGTTGACCATAATTTTATCATAAATCGTGTCAATTATTATTGTTGATTGAAATATTTTGTAAAAAATAAATAAAAAGGAAATTTCATTTAAATTATGCATAGTTTTGTGTGTGTCTGCGTGTGTGTGTGTGTGACAATTCTATATTGATTGATATTGATGTGGATTATCAAGATGTTGGGCAAAGAAAGAAGCTACAGGACTATGGAATAATTTATTTCATTCACTGTGATTTGGTGTAAATTAATCATTAATCATTTGAAGTGTATGCATTCTTTCTGTGCTGCTGCTACATGATGGAGGCGTGAGGTTATATGCTATCAATGAAGTCTAACGATGCACCTAACCCCACCCTCCATTTATTATTCCGTCATTTGGTTTTTTGAGAGGTGTTAATGATTGTTTTTTCTCCAAGTTTCCAATGAATCATGTAGACGGACTTATTATGGGCACATACATATATTGTTGAATCTGTTTTACGATTTGAAGTGTTTTTTAGTTGAAAAGATTAGATCAGTTCATGTACATGAAGAATAATTTGAGAATGGAGTATTTCCTACCACAGACTATTTGTCATGCGTTACATGCAGACCACTGATAATGAAGCTTTTGTCTAAGCGCTTGATGATGAACACTTAAGTACAAACACTCTACTTGCCACTCATTTTTTTTTGTATTCACGTCAAATATCTGGACAGTTAGGAATAATTCCTCTCTGTTTAGATAACAATGATCATAATTCACATTTGGTATATAGGTCACAATATGTTTCAGACTGATATCATTTACTGACAGCCTTTATTGATATGTCAGCTGGCATTATTCTGAACTAATATTTCTGACTGACTTGTATTGCTTTGTGTAGAATGATCTTGTGTTTTGAATGCCTGCAAGACTTCCATTGGAAATTTGTCGTTATATAAGTAGTATGACTACATTTGGTTTGATAAATATTTACCTATCACTTATTAGATCAGAAAACTAGATCTGTCTTATAGCTATCAAGTGATTACTAATTATTCTTAATCATAAACAAAATTATCCATAAGTCTATCCATGTATTTGGTAAGAAATTGTGGTTGAATTTTATTGACATAATGAATAATATTCTTTTATTTTATTAAAGTTAACTAATAAAGCTGTTATATAATTATTGTATTCCAAATGATAAATACTAAGAATATAGATTCCCGATTTTGGGATATCTTAGTCACTGCCATGAAATTGAAGATTATTAAGCTTCTCAAAGTCAACAATTTCAACATCACTAAGAAATCGATCTCAGAATGTTTAGATTTAAAAATCTCAAATATATACTTACACGTACATTTCATTGTTTGTTGTCTACATTACATGTGTATATGAGTATTTTTTATTCTAAATGTTCAATTCTACTATTTATAGTTGCTTATTTTTTAAGTTGTTTTCTTTCAGTTTTCAAGAAATACATTTTGTCTCTTGAATAAGAGACTTTTATGGAGTGCAAATGCACACCGGCTGTCTTTTGCACCAGTAAGTAGTGGCGGTAGTAGTAGTAGTAGTTACTCATCAAACCAATCGAATAGACAAGATCAACACAAAAATGATACACATCAAACAGGATTATTTTTCAAATCATTGCTTTTGATTGGAGCTCTTGCAAAAATTTGGCATGATAATGATGACGATGTAAATGATACTGAACAAAAATCTAAACATGTATATAATACTCCATTAATTGTCAAATGTGCAGAAGTTGTAAAACCAGTATTTAAAGATAGACAAGCTGCAATTAAAGCTTTGGATGTGTTTCCAGATGTTGCTGAAGATGTTCAACCAGCCGTTGTGTCAATTACTAGCACTGAGTTAGTTATTATTATTATTGTTAATCGTTTATGTTATGTTTTGAATATCTATCATCAGTATCAACCTATATATTTTGACTTTTAATTGTGTTATAACATTGAGTCTGCTAATGTGTGTTATCGTTGAAATCAATATGCATCCGATCTATAATATTGTCATTTCTAGTATACTTTTCACCTCTAGACAAACGGCGTTAGTCTAAACCAATAATAATAAATTCCAACTAACAACAATTAACATTCAGTAGTGACCGGAATAATGCCTAACGCCCATCGGTTCAGGGTGCGTGCTTTTCTGTATATCGTCATATATATATATATATATATATATATATATATATATATATATATATGACGATATACAGAAAAGCACGCACCCTGAACCGATGGGCGTTAGGCATTATTCCGGTCACTACTGAATGTTAATTGTTGTTAGTTGGAATTTATTATTATTGGTTTAGACTAACGCCGTTTGTCTAGAGGTGAAAAGTATACTAGAAATGACAATATTATAGATCGGATGCATATTGATTTCAACGATAACACACATTAGCAGACTCAATGTTATAACACAATTAAAAGTCAAAATATATAGGTTGATACTGATGATAGATATTCAAAACATAACATAAACGATTAACAATAATAATAATAACTAACTCAGTGCTAGTAATTGACACAACGGCTGGTTGAACATCTTCAGCAACATCTGGAAACACATCCAAAGCTTTAATTGCAGCTTGTCTATCTTTAAATACTGGTTTTACAACTTCTGCACATTTGACAATTAATGGAGTATTATATACATGTTTAGATTTTTGTTCAGTATCATTTACATCGTCATCATTATCATGCCAAATTTTTGCAAGAGCTCCAATCAAAAGCAATGATTTGAAAAATAATCCTGTTTGATGTGTATCATTTTTGTGTTGATCTTGTCTATTCGATTGGTTTGATGAGTAACTACTACTACTACTACCGCCACTACTTACTGGTGCAAAAGACAGCCGGTGTGCATTTGCACTCCATAAAAGTCTCTTATTCAAGAGACAAAATGTATTTCTTGAAAACTGAAAGAAAACAACTTAAAAAATAAGCAACTATAAATAGTAGAATTGAACATTTAGAATAAAAAATACTCATATACACATGTAATGTAGACAACAAACAATGAAATGTACGTGTAAGTATATATTTGAGATTTTTAAATCTAAACATTCTGAGATCGATTTCTTAGTGATGTTGAAATTGTTGACTTTGAGAAGCTTAATAATCTTCAATTTCATGGCAGTGACTAAGATATCCCAAAATCGGGAATCTATATTCTTAGTATTTATCATTTGGAATACAATAATTATATAACAGCTTTATTAGTTAACTTTAATAAAATAAAAGAATATTATTCATTATGTCAATAAAATTCAACCACAATTTCTTACCAAATACATGGATAGACTTATGGATAATTTTGTTTATGATTAAGAATAATTAGTAATCACTTGATAGCTATAAGACAGATCTAGTTTTCTGATCTAATAAGTGATAGGTAAATATTTATCAAACCAAATGTAGTCATACTACTTATATAACGACAAATTTCCAATGGAAGTCTTGCAGGCATTCAAAACACAAGATCATTCTACACAAAGCAATACAAGTCAGTCAGAAATATTAGTTCAGAATAATGCCAGCTGACATATCAATAAAGGCTGTCAGTAAATGATATCAGTCTGAAACATATTGTGACCTATATACCAAATGTGAATTATGATCATTGTTATCTAAACAGAGAGGAATTATTCCTAACTGTCCAGATATTTGACGTGAATACAAAAAAAAATGAGTGGCAAGTAGAGTGTTTGTACTTAAGTGTTCATCATCAAGCGCTTAGACAAAAGCTTCATTATCAGTGGTCTGCATGTAACGCATGACAAATAGTCTGTGGTAGGAAATACTCCATTCTCAAATTATTCTTCATGTACATGAACTGATCTAATCTTTTCAACTAAAAAACACTTCAAATCGTAAAACAGATTCAACAATATATGTATGTGCCCATAATAAGTCCGTCTACATGATTCATTGGAAACTTGGAGAAAAAACAATCATTAACACCTCTCAAAAAACCAAATGACGGAATAATAAATGGAGGGTGGGGTTAGGTGCATCGTTAGACTTCATTGATAGCATATAACCTCACGCCTCCATCATGTAGCAGCAGCACAGAAAGAATGCATACACTTCAAATGATTAATGATTAATTTACACCAAATCACAGTGAATGAAATAAATTATTCCATAGTCCTGTAGCTTCTTTCTTTGCCCAACATCTTGATAATCCACATCAATATCAATCAATATAGAATTGTCACACACACACACACAGACACACACAAAAACTATGCATAATTTAAATGAAATTTCCTTTTTATTTATTTTTTACAAAATATTTCAATCAACAATAATAATTGACACGATTTATGATAAAATTATGGTCAACAGAGAAAAGAAGAAGAAAAAAAAGCACAGTTTTTTTACATTATGATGTAATAATAATAATAATAATAATAAAAATGTTAACAATCAGAAAGAAATAAAGAACAGTGTTTAATCAGTAGATATATATATATTGAAAATCTACTGCTTATTTATTTATTTACCAAAAAAAGAGAATGAATACATACAAACTAAACAAACGTACACAGAGGTATACCTAGCAATGAATCCCATTATACACACATGTATATATATATATATATAATCAAGCTTGTTGAAGGAAAGACTGTCATATTCACTGTAGAACACAATCAATTGTTCACGTAAAAAACTTGAACAAAAATGCTACTACTACTCCACATCATCATCATATTACAATTGATATGAATGACTAATGATTATAACTTAATAAATCTACTTAACTATGTACAGACAAAGAACAGAGAACAAAGTTCATAATTCGGAGAAGAAGAAACAAAATAAACAATTAGGGAAATGATTGAACAAAATGGGAAACAAAATGAAGTTGGTGAATTAGAAAGGGAATAAAAAGAAGAAGGAGAAAATTCAGTCTTCGACTGAGAACAACTACCTGTTTTTTTTCTCATAGATAAACATTGATTTGAGATGGTAATATATATATAATAGAACATTGAGAAAAAAACTTTCTCAATTATCATCACATGATACAACAAGATGGAATAAAATAAATTACAATAACAAAATAACAATAACAAGAGAAAAACAAGATTAACACATTCAAGTTTTAAATTATGTACAAAAAAAAACAAACAGAGAGATTCACAATGGATTACACACACTCGAATGAATGTTGTTGTTGATGATGACGATGATGATTTCATGGAGATTTAGCATCAAACGCTTCTAGTTCTTTAAGTATTTTACGACGTTCTTTTAATGCTTTCCATGAAAGATCACGATCACGTTTTAATGGAGGTTTACGATAGGGACGATAACTTTCAAGTTTATTATAGGCTTCAATAACCTAAACAATTGAAAAGTAAAAAAAGAAAGTAGTACGGATTGTTTTTTACAAATTTGTTTGTGATCATCATCGTCATCAACAGCAACCTGGAATTTCATACGTAAGTACATCAGTTTAAGTTGTCCTACCACATTAGAACAGAGATGTAATTGTCAATTCAAATCCCATAGTAGTAGAGGTAGTAAAGGTATTAGCAGTAATCGGAGAGATTAAGGGTTCGACGATTTTATTCAAGAAGTAGAGTCTTATGAAATAAACTTAAAAAGGAAAAGATAAAGGTGTTGAGGAATTCAGAAGGTTAGGACTCAGTTCACTTATCAGTTACTTCATGGATTTCTGCCATGTTTTGGTTTGGCCACCCCTGGCTTTCTTCCAACCTATTCCGACATCGCAAGACATAGTACGATGAGGCAGTCGGTGGCTAGGCATACGCAACACATGTCCCAACCATCTCAACTGATGAAGCTTCAATACTTCGTCTATTGACTTACCATCCTTACCTAGCACCCCTTTCCTAACGACAGCATTGCTCACTCGGTTGTCCCACGATACACGAGCAATGCTTCGGAGAAACCTATGATTGAAAACTAGTAACCTACGATTATCTTCTACTCTCACTGGCCATATTTCACAGCCATAAAGTAGGATAGGGCGAACTGTTGTTCAGTAGACTTGTCCTTTGATTAGCAAACGGATATCTAGCCTACGCTATAAGTGACGCAGGTTGGCAAAAGCCAATCGAGATTTCTGTATCCGTGCTGAGATTTCATCAGTCACCAAGCCATCGGTGCTTGCTTGGAGTAGTCAGAAGACTCTGCATTCCGTCAGCGTCTTCACAAATTAGAACTATGTTATCGGCATTATCTAAATCAACAAGCACCCTTACAATAACAACGACTACTAGCTGAGATATCAACAATTGATGCGATGTTTACTAAAGAAATAAAAAAATAGTACATCAACCACATTCACAATAATTACGTTGTAAACTAATAAATGTGGTGATGACTCTAGTGAAATATGAAAACCATACAAATTGAAATGATGATATTACGCAATAACCTCATAGATTAACGAGAGATAGAGAAGGGGGTGGGCGAGGGAAAGGAAATCAAATTTTACCTAATAAGTAGATAGGTCAAAATATTGATCTATGCCTGTGTTTAGTTTGAACAAGATAGTTAGTTGTACAAAAAACCAAGGTGTCGCAAAGTAAATTACGGTAATTTGTATACACTTCTATTTGTTAGTAAGTTGAATTAGGGAATAACATGAAATTTTATTATTGTAAATTTGATAGATCACTTATCGATTGACTCGATACTATTTAAATTATCGTTAGCAGGGTATCATAATACTCTACTATCATGATTTCCGATTGGAGAAGACAATGTAATTACGCAAACATTACAAATATTGTCGTCATTGTTCTGACTAAACTTATGAAATGGAACCAATAAATAGTATTTATTGCATCGATGAAAGTGTGTGAATTGTATTTAACAAATCTAATTCGTTCATAAGATGCTATCTGTCTGTCTAGTAAATCAATAACTCAAAATATAAAATCAACCAAGATTATGTGGCCTGTACAAAAAAAAAAAACTGTCACCAACATTTAATACGGAAGAGAAACTAACAACCCCCCCCCCCCAAAACTCTTACATCAGCATCTGCAATCGCTAGACGCCTTAGTATTTCTTGACGTTGCATATCTCTTCTAGCTGCCTGTATAAGTCGTCGAAGCATTCGATGATTAGCTGTGCATAACAATCTTAATTCTCGTTGACGTTGAACAATCGCCCAGCCAATATCATCACTAGTACTAGATCCATACTGTGTTGTCGTTGTTGTTGTTGTTGTGGATGTTGATGATGAATCTTCACCAAATAATACTGTGTTGACACCACAGTCTGATGGCTTTGAATCATTAGGCTGGATCATAGGAGAAGCGTGATGATTAGTTTTCCCAGTTAAATGATCTGTTTTATAACTTGTTTTTTCTAATAAATTAGATTCTAATTTGAATTTGTGTTGACTATTTTGCAGTGGAGTAGTAGTACATTGTTCATTATTTTGATTCAAAGGATTGTGCAAATTGGAATTTAGTACCTTGAGTGAAAAAAAGGAAGAAAATTTTTATTAAAATATATACAGCATTTTATAAACATTTTAAAGAAATATATATTGAATAGTTTTTTCTTATACGTGTGAATTACCAGCTTAGAACTTCGTTTGGATAAAATGGTGTTTTATGTGTACATTGGTAGGTTATCATGACAAAAAAACGACGTGTCACAAAGGTTAAAAAGAGTTTGATACTTGAACTGAAGAACTTTTAAAGGCTTTCATGAAATAGAATTGACTGAAGTCGGTCCCAACCTGACAACAAGGTTAACACTATGACGAAATTGAATTCTGAATGTTTCTTATTCATCAGTACTTACTTACTTACTTACGGCTGTTACCCCCAATGGAGCATAGGCCGCCCACCAGTTTTCTCCAACCAACTCTGTCCTGGGCTTCCCTTTCCAATTCTGTCCCATTTTTGTTCATTCTTCTCATATCTTTCTCTATTTCTCGGCTTAATGTGTTCCTTGGCCTTCCTCTTTTCCTTTTGCCTTGAGGGTTCCATGTGAGGGCTTGTCTTGTGACGCAGTTGCGTGCTTTTCGCGGTGTGTGTTCTATCCACTTCCACCGCTTCTTCCTGATTTCCTCCTCCACTGGAATCTGGTTTGTTCTCTCCCACAGTTCGTTGTTGCTGATGGTGTCTGGCCAACGAATACGAAGTATTTTGCGTATTCATCAGTAACCGACTTTAATCTAACAACCAGTGGGAAGAGACTGATCGTCATTCGAATTGTCCAAATTAAATATTCATCACTGAATCAAATCTTTTATTTTCTGTCTAAATATTGCTTTAAAACTTTTGGCACCTGATTTCATAAAGTATTTATCGAGTGTCTGACAGTATTCTAATTAACTATGAACAAGTAAACATAGCTCTGTAAAACAATTACTTTTGTATACATTAAGTGAAAACAAGTTACACAATGTGTCCTACGGTTGGATCTAAACGCAATAAGAAACTTTAAAATTAAGTCTCATGTTATTCGACACTCATCTCAGTAAAACCTAGTTGTAATCTTGAAGAAACTGAAGCCATGTAGCCTGATAGTCTAAAACATCAGTAGAGTTTGAACAGCACCAAGAAAAAAAAACTAGACAAACATAACACTGGTGATAGCATTCAGGATAGATCAAACAATGTTTTGACATTGTCAAAGTCTATGATATTTAGATTCATCTAGTGATTCGTTTTCGAGCATGACTTTGTTTGTTAAAAGGGTTGAAAGAAACACTGTTCTCATATGTGTAACCAAAAATCAATAATCCAAATAGTTTGAAGAATTTACCAACCTGAGTTGCTTCACAATTCTCCTCAAAATTATTACAATGAGCATTTGATTTATCACATAACTCATCATTATCCGTCAGTTTGTCATTGTGTAATTCACATAATGTTAAATCACCATTCATAACAATTGATTCATGATTTTCCAAAGAGGCAAACGGTGAATTGATGCCTTCATTACAATGAGATTCAGATAAATTATTTGATGAGAAATGATTATTATGCTTTAAAGAATGATGAGTTTGTTTAGTAGGATTTGTTGAATCAATTGTTAGTCGTTTTTCATTTTCCATTGATAATTGAGTAGTAAGAGTGTTACGATTGCGCCCAGTAACATTAATATGTAAATCATGTTTTCCTGGAGGATTATCTTTGTCACTGAAATATTCAGTATCAGTGGTTGGAAGATTTAAATCATGACGAGACGTAGGAACACAATCCTTGAATTGAATAGAAATGAGAAAAAAGTAATTGTAAGAATAATATGAGTAAAATAATGTTCTTAAGAGAACTTTACACACAATCTATTGACAACTGGATATGATTTATTGAAGAAACAGGTTGTTATTTACAACTTTACAGATGTACAAAATACTCTTTAAAGAAAAAATTAAAATCGCCTTTATACTATATTTAAGAAATGACAAACCTTAAGTAAAATGAAAGAGTGGCATTGACGTACTATCTGCCCCCGTGTAACAAATCAAGGCGGATAATACAAACATTGTTGAATTGGTTAGTCAGTCAGATGCAACGTAGAACTTTGTACATAAGTACATCAGTTCATGTTGCCATACCACATCAGCACAGAGAAGTAATCGTCAATTCAAATCCAATAGTAGAAGAGATAGTAACGGTATTAGGAGTTAGTTGTGGCAATTTATCTTTTATTTGGCGGTAGTACATAAACAGAGGTAATTTTTGTAGTTAAAATGAGGATTTGATGGTATTTTATATTTCGTTTATTAGTACCGTTAGTTATGTGTTCTAAATGAAAATACAAGTATATTGTAAATCTTTAACTACTCATTAACGTCGTATATAGACTTTGTCAATTCATTTTGATAACCTCAGAATGTCTTGATAGAGTCGAGAGTGGGGAAGTTCACTCTTCCTTTGGAAACGTTCTCACACGGCGACGCGTGTACGGCCATTGACAAAGAAGTCCTGCTCACTGTTCTTTTTGTAGCGGTGTTGTTTACGAAATTCAGAGGACCGGAAGCGAAAGCCTGGGGTTTAAACCGAATCGGTAGGTAGGGTGGGTTTTTCTAAGAGACTTGGGAAACCCTGATTCCAAATCAATAGTGCAATATGAACTCCAGGTTCCTGAGAGTACAAATGGCGTAAAAACCTATTGTCGGTCACTGGCTGGCATAACGCTTGATCTGTTAACGTTGTTCCACTTGTCTTGTGGATTGGACTTTTGGATTCAAGGCTTGAGGAGTAGCCTCCTAAGAAAACCATCTGTTTTCGTTTATACACCCAGGTAGTATCACAGGCCATACAATAATTCATTGATTTGTGTGGCGCATAAATATTTAGGTGCCCCTTTGTACTAACACTTATGTATTTAAATATGTAAGTAAATATACAGTTTGATAGGTTAAAATACAATCCAAAACATAATGTTACTCAGTTTGAAATTACATGGTTTAAGATTTCACACAAATTTAGACTATTTAGTCAGACAGCCAATACCTATAAACGATGTGTAATTCTTTACTTAAAAATCCTAAATTAGTGAAACTATTCAATGAATATTCATCGGTGATTAGTTTATGATTAGAATTTTCCGAGATCCTATTGTAGATGAGAACAGAATCGATTTGTGCATGATACTGACGAGGAACAACAACAACTGAATGAAAACACTAACACATTTTGGAGGTCCGCGAGACGAAAGTCATCAATGGTTAGACACCTTGAACGACATGGCTTAAAATCGTTTGCAATGGCACAGGTGCATCCACTCGTCGTTTTCTCTCAAATTCTAACCTTCTGAATTCCTCATCATCTTTATCTTTCTCTTTCTAAATTTATCTCACTGAGTTTTACTTCGAACCCCAAATCTTCTGCATTACTGTTAGTACTTCTACTATCGCTACCACTATTGAATTTAAACTGACAGTGTGGTGTGAGCTACTTATAGTATATAACGTGAGTGTCAACGTAATGTCTGGCAGAAGAAAGATGGGGGAAGATCAAGAAAGGAAGAGTTAGAAAACAATGGAATTTGTATGAAACGCATGAATAGTGACAATAGATTGATGTTTTGCAACAGGAACAGTCCAGTTCGATATGATGAACTGATATTTTGCAAATTAACGATTTACGATATGGTTTTCCTATTTTACTGAGTAACTCTGTAATTTTCGTTAGATACAGTTCGGTCGCCCCGCCTGTGATCTCGTTCACTACACTAATACTTCTACTATCGCTACCACTATTGGATTTGAACTGACAGTTGTGTCACTGTGCTAATGTGGTATGGCAACCTCAACTGATGTACGTACGTACGTACAAAGTTCTGTGTTATATCTGTCTGTCTGTCTGTCTGACACATTTTAATAATGAACAAATTGTATCACTAGGTAAATAAACACAATTACCCATTGCTTTGATTCAATGGAATCATTCAAATTGGAAGTTATTCCATTGCATAGAATTTCATTCTGGGTAGGAGCAGTAGTAGTAGTAGTAGTAGCAGTAGTAGTACTATTATTACTATTACTGTTCACTGTGTTACGTAATTTATTTCTATAACATATTGATTTTGAGATTTTTAAATTTTTTCGTTTTAATTTCTTTGAATAACAACATGTGGATTTGATTTGGTCATTATTATTATTATGATTATTAGCATTGGAAATCGGGTCGACATTTTCCATTTTCACAGATGACAATGATAATTCCGTGGAATGTTCAGTGTCTAATTTATTGGATTCACATGTTGTATTTTCTGTAGGCATAAGAAAGTGAATAAACAATGTAATAAGTTATAGATAGAATAAAGTGAAATTATTACAAACATATAAATATATGACATGTTGTATATATATACATAAACAATTAGGAAGCGGGTGCTAAGTAAGGATGGTAAGTCAATAGATGAAGTATTGAAGCTTCATCAGTTGAGATGGTTGGGACATGTGTTGCGTTTGCCTAACCACCGACTGCCTCGTCGAGCTATGTATTGAGATACAGGAATACGTTGGGCAGAAGCTAGGGGCGGCCAGACCAAAACATGGCAGAAATCCATGAAATCATTGACGAGTGGACTTAGCGATGTCGGTAATCGTCGACTACCTGGTTGAGCTCCGTGAGATGATAATAATCGATGGTTAGATACCCTGAATGACTTGGCTCGAAACCGTTTGCAATGGTGCAGGTGCATTCATTCTTTGTGTTCTCTCAAATCCTAATCCTCTGGATTGTTCAGCACCTCTAGTTTTGACTTTCTAAACTTTTCTCACTGAATCATACTTCTTGAATAATATCTTCTAATCCTAACCTCTTCGATTACTTCTAATACCTTTACTACCTCTTCTACTATGAGATATGAATTGACAATTATATCTCTGTGCTAATGTGGTATAGCAACATGAACTGATGTACTTACGTACGAAGTTCTACGTTGCATCTGACTGACTGAGATCAAAAACAGTCGTATGACGCTTAAT